CGAGAGAGAGAGAGAGAGAGAGAGTTAATAAAATTAGCTATGTTTAATAATTAAATATTTAAATAATTTTAAATATTTATTACCAAAATGAAATGAACTGTAATAACATCTTATTGTGATTTATACTATAGAAATTAAAGTTCATGTAAAATATATTGGCCGTCAATGAGATCCATACTTGTTATGTTAAAATCAAATTGAATTGACTAAATTTATTGATATTTACACAAGTAACAATTTAATGTTTTAATAAATAATTATTTGCAAATACAACTGTATAACTTGGGTAAATGGATCAAAATAAATACACAAATCATTCTACACATTTTATTTTGATTGTATTTATTTTACTGTGACCATAATTGTTTATTGAAAAATTAAATTAATTGTAATTTGTCAATATCCATTGATAATAGTTTGGTGATTATTAATTTATAATAATACAATTAGTTAATTTACTATTTAATTATGTAAACTTTATATATTAAACAAATTTTTTATTGTATATTGCTAGACACAAATGAAACTTATGACAATTCTTAATTAGTATAATATGAATTGCAAATTAAAGGATCTAGATCGATTTTAGATATACGATTCTAATTAAACGCTACACATTGTACTTTGTATAAACACATATTATTATAACTATTTTTAAACTATTGATTACAACAATGGACTAATTACTTATAATCCGGATATAAAAGTCCATTTTTAACCTGAAATGTTATTTTATTATCTATGTACTGCTAACTACTACTTAACTCATTGATATAATCTATTATACCTATTATACCTGTAATCCCAATATAAGGTTTTCCCAGAAAATCGTGTTAAAATAAAAACAACAATATAAGCGTAACCTTGGTTAAACATTTATAAAAAGTATATAAGTCAGAATTTTGTCAGCATAAATAATTATATTATTGTTTTAATTAATAACTTATAGTTAATTAAAAATGATGAAGCTTAGTCTGTTAGTTTGTTTATTGGTGGCATGTTTGGGCCAAATACAATCGGCGCCCAAACTTGTTTGTTATTATGAGGGCTGGTGTAAGTAATATATACATTATTTCCAAAAATATTAATTTATATAATAATTTTAATAAAGTTGTTTTAAAAAATCAGCTTTCTAAATAAATTATAAGTTACATAATAATTTTATTATTTTTATCATGTTTAGTCGCGTATCCATCGCATGGAGCAGGTGCGATGCAAGTGAAAGATTTTGGTAAGTTAATATTGTATAAATGCATATTGCTGAATAAAACAATATTAACCATGACCAATTAATTTACGCACAGACAACACCGCGTGCACACACCGTATCTACGGTTACAACGGTGTGACCGCAGCGGCCGATGTGCTAATTACCGACCCGTGGCTTGAGACCGGCACCTCATACCGTAAATATACCATAATTATTAATATAAATAAATGTGCTAAGCTCATATTAAAATAATAATTATATTTTTATTGTACCTAGATCAATTGTACGATTGGGGTCACAACAAGGGCTCAGACCTGTCGCTGATGGGTATCGGCGGCTTCACTGCCAGCAAAGACTTGCACTACGCCACCGAGAATCCGACCCTATTCACCACCAACGTGGTCGCTTTTCTTAAGAAATACGCCCTGGATGGTTTGGTTATTGAATGGTCAGCCAACAATTGGAACTATGAATATATGGACGCGTATGTGACCTTGTTGAAACATCTGAAGGAGGCTTTTGCCGCTAATAAGTTTGTGTTGGGCACTGTTGTGGCGGCCAATATGCCCGGCTATGACATTAAATCTGTTGCTGAGTAAGTGTCATAAAAAGAGTTTGATCAATTTTACTGAAATTTGATTTAATATTGTTTATTAATTATAATATTAATTTTTATAGGCAAGTGGACTTGGTTATTGTCCAAGCATATGACTATCACGGCTCGTGGAATACTGAAGTTGGTCACGCATCTGCCCTTGAGGATCAGGTATACTATCAAAGTTACCTAATAAATACCATGGTCTACTAATAATATAAATTTTGAATGTCTATATATAGAAAATGACCATTACCCAGTGGATTTCTAGTGGCGCACCTGCTGAGAAGTTAATCGTAAGTTTATCATAGTACGGTAGTTTTATTTATGCTTAATATCAAATATTAATCATCTAGGTGACTGTGCCCGCCTACGGTCACACATGGACCCTTACCGATTCCACCAAGACCGATCCTGGCTCACCCGCCAGTGGACCCGGCAATAAAAGACCGTTTACCGATACACCAGGCAAAATTGGTTACAACGAGGTCAGTATTACTAAATTCAGTTATGATAGTTAAACCAAATAATTGATTTATAAATAAATTATTTAGATATCAGCATTTAAAGTTTAAAAATATTATCTAATAACCATATTTAAACTAATTATAAATTTAATTACCATGTTAGTTTGCTTTGCTGTTGAAAGACGACCCGACGGGTTGGCACCGGTTCGATGACGGGGCAGTCGGCGCTGCATACTATGTAAAGGGCAACCAATGGGTGTCCATTGAGGACGTGAAGACCGTTGAGGCTAAGGGACAATGGGTTAAAACTGCCGGTTTGGGCGGTATCGCCGAAATGGCTGTCAATAACGACGACTTTAACGCTATCGCGTCGCCCACCAAATTTCCCTTGCTCAAAGCTTTTGCTAAGGGCATGCAGTAAATTGTGACTAGACTATATTGTTTTGCCTTGACTAGTTGTTTTTACCGCGTAAATTTAACATGTGTATTTAATTAAATTATTTTAATTAAAATTGTTGCAAAAAGTAAATTATTGTTGTATTTTTATTATGAAGTTATTTTTACCAAATAATATGTGTCCCACATTATATGGCACATTATGTATACAGATGTAGATCGAAATATCTTATTCTATGCGCTAAAATTAGAGTTGCCAATTTAGAAATATAAAACAAACAATTAGTTTACATAAATCATTTTATTTGTACTACTAATAAATCCAAAAAGTTTATACATTTTATTTATAACAAGTTATATGAGTTAGGAAAAATCAAAACCTCACCTCTTATTGTCATATAATACTATTTACAATATTTATTTTTATCTATGTAAATGTAAATTTAATTGCAATTTCTAATATTACAATATAAAAAATTAAAAAATAAATTACTATGTTTATTTACAATCAATTATCTATAATAATTATTATTGTTAAATTTAAACTAGTACTTTTTAAATGTTAATTAAATTAAAATATTGTAATTTGAAAATTTAAATGCATTATGCGCATAAACCACTAATTTAATAAAAAAGTTTTAAAATACTTATTATAATATAAAATACTTATTATATTATTTTATTATAATATAATAAGTATTTTAAAACTTTTTTATTAAATTAGTGGTAAATTAGTATCATATTATGATAAACATTTTAATATATAATTTGTAAACATTGATAAAGTAAATTTTGCGCTATAAGTACTTATCACTTCTAATAGAGATTATCTGGTAAAAGTTGGTAAAGTTTGGATTTTCTTAACTATTGTAGATATTTTCTATCATTGAGTTTAATCTAATAAATGTTAGAAATGACATATAAAAATGTATTAACAAATATAATAAATTATTATTACAGTAATATTATTATAAAAATAAATTTTAAACAACAAAAGGAATTTTTGGGCTATCATACACTTAATCATGATTATTTAATTAGTTAACCATGCACAGCGCTGTTTGTTGTACCATGGTACTTTATGTTTATAGTCCTTTTATACACA